CGGAGAGTCACTCCTGTCCTGTCAGCAAGCCCATGTCCAACCAAGCGTTCTACCCAAGTTCATCGTCTTCCATTTGGAGCCCTCGATCATCCTTCAGATTGACATGCCTCAATGTACGCACAATGCCACAGATCGGTCAACAGGCAGCACTTGCCCGAACATCAGAGACCCGCCTGCAAGACTCGAGTTCTGTGCTCATTCTGCGATCCCCTTCAGGTGACAATAGCAGTATTTTCTCATTGCGCCTATCAGGTGACAATGCAGCTTCCAGCACCGGCCAAGCCGGTGTTGCTATCGCCCTGCGTCCTCGGGCTGAAGCTGCTCTGGTTGACTGGATCCCATTTAGTAGCCTGATGTGTGCGGTCCGATTGGCTAGCTCGTTCAAATCTTCAACTCGCGCGGGACCAATAGGTGTCTACTCATCATCGCTGCCTAGACGCTCACAAACTCTAGTGATGATTCGGTAAAGACGACTTCTACCGCCAACTGACCGAGCTCCTTCTCCACAGAAGAAGCTCGGACACTGTTGTGCTGGCAGGGAATCTGAGCGCTCAAGTTGGAAAATCATCCTTTGATGAACTGCATCTATGCGGCCAGTACCGTGTAGGCTCTCGTAATGATAACGGTGAGTGGTCACTTCATTTGTGTGAAGATGCCCGGTTATTTCTTGCGATCACTAACTTCCGACACAGCACCCGCCGGAGGGTGACTTGGCGCCCACCAGCCTCGAACCAGCCTTGGACGCAGATCGATCACATTGCTATTAGTTACCGCTGGAGAGGCTGCATCCAGAACTATCGCTCGATTTGGAGCACATGAGTGGACACCGACCATGCAATTGTATGTGCTGACATGCGGATGCGTTTTGGCGGACGCCCACGACGACGCTGTGAGCGCATTGACACCAGCTAACTGACAAAGCCAGCTGTTCTGTATGCATAATCAAATACGCTGACATGCGGGTTGAGTAAGCGCTCGCTGGAGACAATTGAAGGTCACTGGTCGCATGTTCACCAGACCTTACTAGCAGCAGGGAAATCTTCATGTGATGTGATAATAGCCAACATGGACATTGGGTCTCTTCGCGGTCTCTGGAACTTATCGATGCTCGCCGACATATTCCGGCTGGAAGCGAACACAATGAAACTCGCAAAGAGCTCCGGGAAAAACTCCGTGCTAACCTGAAGAGAGACCGCGAATCCTGGTGGTCTCTTCGTACGTCAGAGATGGAAGTAGCCGCTGCCCCTGGTAAGCATCGAGTAATTCCGTCTGATACAGGAAACGGGCAACAGATCTCGTATTAGCAAAAAATTTATGACGAGAGTAGACAGACTATCCAAAACTTGTCAAAACGTTTGAAGCGTTGGGCTGAGCATTGCGAAAAGCAATTTAATCGACCGGAATTGTTAGATTCATCACCGGCAGTGATCGCCCTGCTCCCTGGATTGTCCCTTTGGATCCGCCCTCTCGCTCAGAAGTCGTACGTGAGATCAGACTGTTGAAGTTGGACAAGGCCGCGGGACCAAATGATCTTCATCCAGCCCTCTACAAATTCGGCGGACTTGCTCTTGTTGATGATTTACACCAATTACTAGTGAAACTGTTAGAGCAGGAAATTGTCCCTACCGACTGGAGCCGCTCCTTTATAGTTTCGATCTGCAAAGGATGCTTGCGTTCAGAATGCGGCGACCATAGACGAATCAGTCTGATCCCAATCATCTCCAAATTACTTGTCTCTGTAATCCTTCACAGACTGAATGGCGCTCGTGAAAGCCAAATTCGTGAGGAGCAAGCCGGGTTTCGTCGGGGTCGTGGCTGCATCGACCACACCTTCACTTTGTGTCAATTGTTAGAGCACCGTCACACCTATTGGCGGCACACCGTTGTCGTCTTCCTCGACATCAAAGATGCCTTCGATTTGGTTGATCGATATGCCGTTTAGGACAGTCTACTCAGGAAAGGTGTGCCCGAGAAATATGTAAATATTATCCGCGTACTATACGCGCGTAGCCCGAGCAGAGTGATGACTTAGGGCAAGCTGTCGCCGCCCTTCAATGTCTCCAATGGTGTGAGACCAGGATGGCCGTTATCACCTTTCCTCTTCAACTTCACTTTTGTCGAAGTCATGGAGATTGCATTCACAGGACGACTTAGAAAGTGTGGAGCTAATCCCAGGAGAACGACTACTTGACTTGGAGTATGCGGACGATATTGCCCTCATCTGGGACAGCTCCCAGACGTGACAAGCCGCACTGGACAGGTTAATACTGGTTGTCAGCCGCTTCGGGGTTTGCTTTGCACCATTGAAGTGCTAAGCTTTTCTCAAGATTGGTAGGGATCGCCTCTTGCGCTGACCCTTGGTGGGGATCAGCATCAAGTCGTTCAGAACTTCAACTACCAGGAAAGTTGTATCAGCGCCGTTGGGGTCGAAGATGAGACCATGAACCGTAATATCAAAAGCTCGAGGCGCTTTTGCTAACCCTCGCCACCTGCGGCGCCGGCGCGACATCACCCTCGCCCTGAAGAGTAGCGTGTAAAATGCAGCGGTACGTCCGACCCTAATGTACGACTGCGAAATCTGGCCCCTTAGATCAGCGGACATAAAGAGGCTATTTACGTTCGACCACCAGTACCTTCGCAGTTTGGCTCACATCTGGTGGGAACACCGCGTGAGCAACGAGCGTGTTCGACGCCTTGTTTACCGCACAGGAAAGAAATGAATCGCTCAACATCGTTATTTCACGCACCATGCTCCGATGGCTCGGCCACGTGTTGCGCATGCCAGCCCACCGGCTTCCACGACGTGCATTGTTTGCTCGCCGGGGGTGTGGACGGAAGAGGAGAGGCGACCAAGCGATGGCTTTGTCAAGTGGAATGAAGGCCGTCACTCCAAAGCTGACCTCAGTTGGAGCGTCTAGGATCCCTGGTTGATGTCCAGAAGACGATGAACACGTTTGGCTAGATACACTTGCTGACATGGCTAGGAGCCGACGTCAGTGGCGTTACTGCTATGAGTTTCTTTGTCCCTCCCCATCCCTTTTAGTCTACCCCTCCATCCACGATCTCATTTCGTAGCATAATATAATTTTACATGGTAATTTTTATTGTCTAGTAGCCGGCTAGTAGCCTTCCGGAACGATGCCCATCCGTTACCGGTAGCTCAGCTGGCACGCAACTGTTGCATTTAATTTCGTTTTTCTGTTATGTATTGCGGCGCAATGGCTGAAGTGTTTTACACCTCTAGCTAACGTGTATACTGGATAATGAAATGAATGTTACCAAACTCGCAACCAATGGATTTATGGGTTTATACTTATAATACGCGAACATCTTCGCTATTCTACGTAAGCCTATGGTGAGTCCACCAAAATGCTTTTAAAATTTGGTTTTCGCAATAATTTCCATCCCACTGGACTTGTTAAGCATTGCTTTTTTACCCGTAATACACCATTGTTCCATATGGGGCTTGAAAGTTGAATCGAGAGTACTCCGTTACCGACTGGGGTCCAAAACAGGGGAGCAGTTTGCGCACATTTGTCTAAAACAACACGTACATCGCAAATGCTGCGGTTTAATGATTCGGCATCACAGAATACATTGTGTAGGCCCGGTCGTTGAAACCCGAGTTAGATAAGTGCATATGCAATATGTATGTATGCTTCAGAGAAACAGTACACATCGACTCCGAGGAAGTGTAGGGGAGAAGGTAGTGTCACTTGTTGATCGCTCTGGAGCAGTATACGAAGTAGAAAGACTTAAGTCTAGTGATGGCCGCCTATGTGTCAATGGCTGCTGAAGCCAGTAATGTTTTCGCGCTGCTTAGTAGATAGAGAAGAAGAGACTCGAAAGGAGAGGGAAACATAATATAAAAACGATCACCAGTGACAGGGTCCTGTGAACGGATGATGGTATTTAACTGTACATTTCCGAAGGAGTTTTCCTCAAAGTTCTCCACCACTACCTTTCGACTCAGCAGTCTAACCTAAAGGGCAGCGAGGAGTATGCTCAGCTCGGGAGTGTGATTGCAGAGCGGAATCTGCTTAGAGTCGGTCACATACAACCTCCGATGACTTAGCTCTAGAAGTAGTCACGCACATGTAGCAACCAAAGCAAATGATGCTATCGCGACCGAGGCCAATCGCATGTGAATTTTGGTGGGAGTTTGTACACCTATTCGACCACGGGATAGTTGGCTTGAGGATGATGGTAGCAAACTGACGAGGAGGGATGATCACCAAGAACAACCGGTAACGCTCGTGATCTACGCTAATGGAGTTGCGCTTATAACCCGCAGTCTTAATTCCCAACATGAGGGTGTTTAAACCTAAGGATACCATACTTTCTCTAAAATTGGATGGGAGGATGATTAGATCAAATTTGTCCCACTTCAAACGATTGCCCCTATCCAGTAAGAGTGGTCTTGAAGACACCTGGAAAGTGTAAACCGGTGCAGTTCGATGAACCACAGAGGCAGGCAAAATATAGTGCCTGATGAGATCCAGATTGGTCTTAAAAAGTGGCGCAGAGATACAAAAACCGCCACAGTACTGGAACTGCAGTGAGTTGGGTCCACAAAAACAGAAACCGTACTTGCTGGACGAATCGTGCATTGATGGAACAATGCAATCGGGGTTTTCCGTTTCATAAAGTGCTTACTGTCAAGTTCACGTATCCGCACACCAGAGTATATGCGTACCATGCAGGCCTACTCTCAGACACTCTTCAACTGCATGTGATATTGCAGGTAGAGCCAAGCACAATGCTCTAGGGCACCTTAGGCCATGCATTACGCAGTGAGCACAAACAGCTCCATAAAACGCATTGCTTATTCGGACGGACACGCGTGGGGTTGGTCACAGCGAATGTTGTTACCAACACTGATAACAGATCCTACTAGGGTCACTGAATGATTGAAAAATAGACGACGGGTCAATGAAGTCTAAGTATCAGAAAAGTAAACGCTTGTCACTGTAACCAAAACGAAAATGGCAAGCACTTACGGAATTCGCCGTCCAGACGGAAGTGTCTGCTGACCGCAAACCACTGCTGCTACCAGCGCCTGTGCGTTGTATTTCCACGGACGATCCAGGTGGCGGCTTAGAACTTGAAGTAGCTGAACTTGAACGAAGTGGGTCACTCAGGCTACGCTGCGAGTCTCGATTTGACTTGGCTTTAGCTCGGTAAGAGTTCACAGAATCGAGTGCCCGATTCGGTCCTCCGTCAGAAGTGTTTCTTGAATAGCGGTCATTGTTTCTGGTAAGTTGCGGCTCGTAAGAAAGGAGCTACACAGGGCAAAAAGCGAGGTACTATGAGTTAAGAACACGACTGCAAAAGGTTGTTACAAAGAGTTTGCGTTGAACAGAGGCAATTTTCAGACATTCGTTTTCGATACTTAAATTTTTCAGCTTTAAACAACCAACGACGAGGAAAGCAGGAGACAAATTTCGGCGGAGATCCAATCTGTCAGATATACGACAGTACTTCCAGTTGGGAGTGCATATCTACCAATACAGCGCACTTCGTGATGATATGCCACCATTAATGCCCATGACATGTGCCTCAGTGTTAAGATTAATTACAATCAATGTAGTAACTGCGTGAAGTAAACATTTGAACTAGGAAGTAAGTATTTTGCATTACGTCCAAAGAATTGCGCGAAAAATATTCGCTGCAAGTGAGTAGAGTCAAATCAAACAAAGCCCAGTAAAGTGACGGAAATCGCCTTTAGTGAGATCACTCCATAGAGTCCAGCTAGAATTCAGAAAGAAACTAACCATTACGCAAGAAGGAATGCCATCGCGGAATCACGCGGTGGAATACTGTTCCCGCTACATCACATAAACTATTAAGAGTTCATGCGCTTGATCGACCGATAACGTCATTTGCAATTTCATCTAAGGCCTTCAGTTAGCTTTGGAAAATAAACCAGTTATCAACAGTAGCATAAGAAGGCACACGCCGTCAAAACAGAATAAAGAGATTGCGACATGTCACTATTCCGACTGTTCTCCTCAGTCACAAACACAATACAAGCTGAATACATCCACGGTTATATACATGGGGAAATAAGCAACACCAATCCAAATGTCACAGTCAGGACCAAGACAACCCAATTGAGTGCCTCAAGAGTTTCCGTGCACATAACACAAGTTGATGGGCCCCACCGATTCCCAGTATCGTCGGGTTCTTTTCGCGCAATAACGCAGTCTCTGGATTCACATGATCAAGAGTTACCATGAAATGCTTGGTGATAGATAATATGCGGTTCCGATTCATCCTCCGATCCGCTCTATTTCGTTGGGTCACGATTTGTCCCAATCACTTCGGAAAATGTTCAGCTACCCTCTGAGCTAACTAACGGCCAGTTCTATCTACATAAATGTCACATCAACTGTGGGTGAACTGGAAAACAATGTGAGTGGTCGAATTGTCCGATGAACTGCTCTGACGATTATGACGAACAAGGATTCGCTTGGTATGCCTGAATCGCAATTGGGCGGTTGTGTAGATATGTGTTAGGATGGACCGGAACTTGTGCCCGATATCACTTTATATATGGACGCCTTGAACGATAAGAACAAATACACACCCTTTTCTCTCATTAGGACCGGTGTTTTTTTTGGATATCTGCTGTGAATCTGTATGAACTCAGGATATCCATCTGACCCTAAGGTTCACAGCATAAATTCTTCTAAAGCTTTCCACATTTCGGGGCTGCAAATCCCTCTGGCTCTATAGTAGGGAGTTTTCACTAAGCCGCGCTTGCACCTGACCAGGGAGAAGCTGGAAAAGTGAAGGTACTGCCAACGTTAAGTTGCGTTGCGATGAAACGTGCGCTGCAATTTATTTTCGGCTCTTCTTCTGATGATCGAATCCGAAAACGACAGGCTACTGTGTTATTTCACCTCATAAGGTACCGATAGATCGGGGTGAATCAAGTTCGAAACTCTCAACATCCAGATGAAATGTTCACCGCTGGTGAAGACTAGAATGTCATCCGACTTCGCTTCATCATTGCTGGCAGAAACGTGCCTTTCTATCAAGCCGAGGATGATGTGCACTAAAACTTGTCCAAGCGAGTTTCTCATAGCAACGTCTTCTATCTGTTTATATGCTGTCCTGTCAAACTCAAACCGTATGTTTCCTGTGCAAATACTCCGAAGGCAGATATGTTTTGATTTAGGATGAAATCTCATAAATTCTCGCGCCTCTCACAGATGTACGCGTGCATGGGGAGTCAACATCTACGGAGTACATGAGCTCCAAACTCAGCGACCATTGTTCCAGTGTTTCAGACAGTTCAAAGGTGTCTTTCAGGCAACAGATAGCCAGGAGGTTACATACCGGGTGTAATAGTTTCGCCAGACACCGCGCCACACTGTGATAATGCGAACCGTTCATAAACATAATCGGGCGCAGCTGGTTGCCCGTCTTGTGCAATTTGAGGGTGCCCCTCATTCTGGGCCTCTGAGTTCCAGTTGATTTCAACTCACTGATGTAACCATGTAGCGAGAAGATCTGGATTACTCGTGCCACTCGCTTCTCCACCAAGATATTGTTTTCCGGTGTCTTGCGTAGTTAGAATTTTTATCTGTCCCCCAGGATAGATATCATATTAGAAATACAGTCAAGCCCGTTCACTGTCACAATGCCCGATTATGTAACTGACTGCAGAACCGTTACATGCCCCATTCGTTTCAACTCCCTGATCGCCTTATAGTGTTCAGCTTTCAGACAGCACTTTTGTTGCATTGGTATACTCAAGAATCGGTCTGCAATACCTATCAATTTCGCCGAAACCGACCAGCATCTTGGCAAGATGTTGCTGATTTGTTCATTCAGGTACTCAAAGTGGGCATGTGTCTCGGGCTTGTCTATCATTTTTGGTGATATATAATTTCAAGTTTGAGAAATTACAATTGGGTGCGGATGAACTGAGCAGATGACAGGTTGTATACGTGCTTCAAGTACTGCAGGTTGCGTACTGTTTTTGTTCACGTGCGACGAAGAGCATAAGCGAGAAAAGGCGCAAAATTTCAATCGACAAACCAACGACATTTCAGTGAACGTGCATGCAAACCGCTTCCGCCTCTTGAGAAATATACGTCCTCGTTCAAGATGTCGATACGATCCTGGTCACAATGGGATTGTCTATCGGCGGCGTAAAACAACATGAGCGGATACATTCTACAAAAAGTCTTGCCCGAGTGCGTTTCACAGCTAACGGGCGGCCTCATAATCATCATTGTGCACGGTAGAGAGAGGTGGAAAACACCTTAGCCATTGCGCCGCGATACAGAACAGAAAAAGAGAAAAAAATGTAACAGATGCATGCCAGCTGAGCTGCCAGCAACGGATGGGCATTGTTCCGGAAGGCTACTAGCCGGCTACTAGGCAATAAAAATTACTATGTAAAATTATATTATGCTACGAAATGAGATCGTGGTTGGAGGGGTAGACTAAAAGGGATGGGGAGGGACAAAGAAACTCATAGCAATAACGCCACTGAGGTCGGCTCCTATCTATGTTAGCAAATGTATCCGGCCAAACGTGTTCATCGTCTTCTGGACATCAACCAGGGAGCCGAGACGCTCCAACTGAGGTCAGTTTTATTACTCTCGACAAAGCCATCGCTTGGTCGCCTCTCCTCTTCCGTCCACACCCCCGGCGAGCAAACAATGCACGTCGTGGAAGCCGGTGGGCTGGCATGCGCAACACGTGGCCGAGCCATCGGAGCCTGGTGCATGAAATAACGGCGCTGAGTGGCTCATTTCTTTCATGTGCCGTAAACAAGGCGTCGAACACGCTCGTTGCTCACGCGGTGTTCCCATCAGATATAAGCGAAACTGCGAAGGCACCGGTGGACTATCGTAACTGGCTTCTTTATGTCGGCTGATCTAAGGGGGCCAGGTTTCCCAATCGTTCTCATTCCTTTCTGGTCTGTCTGGTGTGCGATTAGATCTCTTGCCTGAGGTCCTGTCTTTTCCTTCCGTGATGTCGTTGTGAGTGTTCGGTTTCTCCGTAGGTGTTCGTTCCGAGTTGCAATAGTGGTCGTAGGATTGGAACAATCTGACGACGGGCCCAGCTTTACCAATGAGCATCCACAGTGGTGATATCAAGCTGATCCTGCAGCAGCGGATAAGGCTGATGGAGTTGATTAGTGAACGCCTTTATGCGTCCTCGCTAGGACAGTCTAACCAATCCTTCATCACTGAGTCTATTGAACAAGCTGCCAACAGTATCACCGAGTTTTGTTCGATCCTGCAGCCAAAGTAACATTTGATTCTTGGTTCAAACGATACGAAGAGTTATTCCGCGTTGAGTTGGCCCATCGTGACGACGCATGGAAACTTCGACTTCTGCTCCGCAAACTCGGTTTCGCTGAACACGAAAAATACTCCAACTACATCCCACCACAGACCCACGCGATCGGTCATTTGATGAAACGGTGCAGACACTTACACAAATATTCGGTGAGCAATTATCACTTTTCAATATTCGTTACCAGGGTCTCAAACTTGTGAAACGTGACGCAGACGATTTCGTCACTTATGCCGGTGTGGTTAATCGGGAATGCGAACGCTTCAAGCTAGGCTCTCTCACAGACGACCAGTTTAAGTGCCTGGTGTTCATATGCAGCCTTCAATCGTCAAAAGATGCCGATATACGCACGCGACTTTTGAGCACGGTTGAGCAGGATCCCCAGATGACGTTACAAACTGTGACTACTGAATGCCAGCGCCTCATAAATCTGAAACATGATACGACCATGGTCCAGAATCCTGACCACCCTTTCAGTTCCATTCACTGTAGAGACTTCCAAACGTCTTGTCAGCACCAGTCACCCACTCCATCCTGCCAGTAAGAAGACATCTCCATCTCCGTGTTCGCACTGCGGTGAATGACACTTCGTTCGCTTTTGCTCGTTCAGACGCCACCGATGGCAGTGGTGTGATAAGGTAGGCCACAAGGACGGAGTTTGTCAGACCCGAGCCAGTTTCAAGCAGTCCGTGAAACTAAAGCAGCGATCAAGACGTCCTATTTGAGCCATTCATTCCCGTAACCTTCTTGCTATATTCAAATTGGATGTCGCTTCTCGCCGGAAATTTGTTTCTTTAAAAAGCGACGATCATCCTGCCAACCTTCAACTAGACACCGCATCCGACATCACAATAATTTCTAAGGAGCTGTGAAGTTCCATAGGTAGCTCACCCTCACAAGCTATCTCTCAGGAAGCAACCAGTGCATGTGGTGGTTCGGTTCCACTTGCCGGTCATCTTTC